AGAGAGGAAGACATGTTTGCAGCCCGGCCTTGGTGGCAACTATCTATACATACAGTGGAGGAGTGAGTGTTGCCACCCGGGGACAGGAAGTGAGTTGTTTGTAGGATCATCAGGTGAAAATAAAGGGAAACGACTGGAGAAAAGAAAACGAATGCAGCCACCACAGCTGAGGGCCGGTATACTTCAATGTATGACATTGTTGTTTTTGGGGTTTTGATACATTTCAGTCCAAGTTTTATATACGTGATTGTAGCTTTTCCTATAGAATTTGCTGCTGGGTGGTTCTATTGATAGCATACATACTGTACACTATATGGGCAAAACATCTGTTAGCTGCCCATCACACCGACACTACATGGCAAACATATGTAAACCCGCCTCCTAATGATGGAGTTCAGGTGTCTACAGTGACGGTTCTGTTATGTGTACATCATATATACAAGACAATTGGGCTCTTCCTGCCTTGTGGTCACAGTTTGGTGAAGACCCTTTTCTGTTCCACCCATGACTGTCCCCTGTATACAAAGCCAGCTCCATAAAGACATGGTGTGACCAGCTAGGTGGAGGAACGAGTGTCCTGCACAGAGCCCCGACCTCAACCCTACTGAACACCTTTGCGATAAATTGGAACACTGTGTACCAGGTCTTCTCATCCAACATCAGCACCTGACCTCATAAATTAGACACATTCCCACAGACACCCTCCAACATCTCGTGTAAAGCCTTCCCAGAAGAGTGGAGGATGGTATAGCTGCAAAGGGGGGCACCTCAATATTGATAGTATGGGGAGAAATGGGGGCAATTCCATTATAATTGGTTTGACTTCAACCCAACTGAACACCAGCCATCTTCTCATCCAAGAGATGTACCCAACCCCACAAATGCTCTTTTGGCTCAATGGGCACCAATACCAACAAATGCACTTTTTGGAAGGCCCTTTTCTGTTCCACCATGACTGCCCTATGTGTACAAAGCCAGCTCCATAAAGACATGGTGTGACCAGTTTGGTGGAGGAACTCAAGTGTCCTGACATCAACCCTACTGAACACCTTTGGGGATGAATTGGAATGCCAATTGTGTCTTTTCAACCAACATCAGTTATCCTGACCTCACAAAATCACGTAAAAAGCCTTCCCAGAAGAATGGAGGATGGTATAGCCGCAAAGAGGGGCCAACTCCATATTCCACATTAAAGCCATGGTTTGGGAAACGAATGTCCAAGAAGGTCATAGATGTGATGGTCAGGTGTCTGCAAATGTTTGGCCATCTAGTGTAGCTATGAGTAGGGCCCCAATGCTAGGAAAGTCTCTGACGATGACCCATAGAAGAAGGTGTGTTGGGAATAAGGCCAAGCGCTACCTCCTGGCTTCTGAATGGAATGTCCAACAAGCTCATGTAGGTGTGATGGTCCACAAGCGTTTGGTCATATAATATCGATCTGTATACATACAGTATATACTTGCACACACATGAATACGGTTATATATAATATTGTATTGGCACTTCTTTTGGTTACTCCTTAGCTCTTCTTTAGTTCTCGACTCTCTAATCGTATTTGTAAAGACACATGTCTATATATAGAGGTTAAGCCAATTAAAACCCAACTCCTCAAGTGTGTTAGCTCTGTAATGTGTTGCAGTTAAGTAATTGCATTGGGCTGCCTTTTATACGATGATAATTGGCTTGCTGTGCTGGAAGCCTTTTGTATCTCCACGAAGGGGAAAACAAGTAAGCAGGCAGGCAGATAAAGGCATTGAAGCTTTCCATCTGTCAGGCGGGCCCCTCCTGGGATGCTCTGATTACAGGTTCCTGCATCTCACCGCCTCCTCCTGGCGCACCCATTGATTTCAGATCGTCTTGTTTGGGATGGAGAAGAGGGTACCAGCCAGGAGATAGAAGCTAATTGCCGAGGAGCCGGAGGTCTGCAGTGGACATGAATAATACAGTAGCGGGATAGGGCCGGGCTGTTTTTGCTGGACTCGCCATTAGAGATGAGACCGAATGTAGAGTGTTGGATATGTTGCTTCTTTGTACCAAAGCAAGGGGAGACGGCGGTGAAGCCCCATTCAGCCAGTTAGACGCTGGAATTAAAGGACATATCCTGACGAAGACATAAATAAAGCCTTCCTTTACTCAAAGTGAACCTGTCTTCTTGACCATCCAGAACACAGTGTCTATGGACCAAACTATACTCTCCTTCACATCACTCCAGTGCCGTTCCTTTTTCCACCTCAGCCACCATAAAATCCATCCAGAGTCCCATTGTCCATGCAATGAAGGGGGAATCCTGACCCCCCCCAAATGTGTTGGCTGTGCATATCTTCTTGTCCCCATTTATGAAGCCAATAAAGGTTTTTTTTTGGACTCTTGAGATGATCACCTGGCGCTCCTTTTAAAGTCTCCATACACCTCCTCCCATGATGCAGTGCTGGAGCCTAGAGGCTTTAATAGACATCCACACTGTCATGTGACAGAGCAGGGTGCCATCATCACGCCCTGTAAGCTCCTACACCAGCTGACGCCACCAGTGACGGAGGAGTGGAAATCCGCTTTAAAGGTGGTTGGGGGTTGGCCTTTGAAGAAACCTGTCACTCTGCCCTGATTGGTCTCTTTTGAGTACCTCCTCACGAGCCATTTAAAGTATTTTTTAAAGTGGAACCCCAAAAGCTTTTTTGTATTGGTTTTGTATGGCGTAGGGAAGGGGTTCCAACCCCCGGTCAGGTTTTATTACTATCTTTGTCTACACGGTGATGATTGCTCAACACTTCCTGTGACCGTTATAAGGACAGGAAGTGATTGGAAATCTCCCCAGTAGGGACACAGATAGCAATATAACACCTGATGGATGCTCTTTCCTTTTCGTTCTATGTAAAAGGAAAACACAAGTAGTGGCTGCAAATCCAATCTCGGCTATCCTATCTGTCAGGTTGTCACTTGCCAGTTTAAAGGCGACATCAGGCTTGCAGTTGTGTCTGCTCTGCAGTCTGATTTCTATGTGGGGGTAACTTAAAGGAGAACTAATGAGGTGAGTGATTTCAACTCATCCTCATAGTTAGAGCCGACCTGTGACAAAGAAGCTGTCACAGGTCGGCTCTATCGATCGGGAAGTGAGCAGAAACCAGCACGATCTGCTCACTTCTCGATCGTCTCCCTGCAGACAACGGTGACTGTCACTCACCACTCCCTGCAGGGATTCTCCCCTCTCCGATCCTTCAGCGCTAAGCGGAGGAAAGAAAGGGGCGGGCACAGCTGTTTCTCCCTTAGATAGGCAGAGCCAGCTATCACTCGCGCAGCTGGGTGGATCTTGACATTAATGTCGGGATCCGTCCCGGCTGCGGCGCTCACAGTATATCGTGGGCTGTAGCCCGATATATTTTGAGCTATGGGTCACGGGAGGACGCTAGTATATGTCCTCCCGTGACCCTAAAGAGAACTATGGGGAAAAACACTTACCCCATAGTTCTCTTTTAAATAGGCCAATAAGGATGGAGGTGGATCAAGGTTGGCGTCCCCTATGTAGCTGTGTTGCTGAAAGTCCAGACAGAAGTTGGTTAGAGAATCTCTTCATACAATAGGAAGCACTCCTGGCTCCATTGCTGCCAGTGACACCATAGCTTGGATTCATGAGGCCTCGCACTTCCAGAATAAACAGATGAGATAATCGTAGTGATGTTCTTGGAACAATGTTGTATGGCAGCCGAGTTGAACTTTTTGGTTTTATTTCCAGGAACCGTGTTCTATGGCCACTGAGTCTTTTTTTGGTTTTGTTTCCAGGATGCTGCTGTTCGGACTGATGACGATGCTGCTAAGCTGGACGTCTCTGGCCCTTGACACGTCCTCCGCCGTGGTAAGTTTTTCCTTTCCTCTGTGTATGAGATGAGCAGCCGGCAAAACGTCTTCAGACCTGTTGAGTAAGACGGTGGAGAGTGAAGGGTCGGGTGGCCCATCGTAGACTTCTCTACAAGAGAAGATGTCACTATGGATGCCATTAAAGTAGATGAACCCCCATTGTTGTTCTATGTCGGGTCTTAATACAATAGAAGAAGACGTCAGCAAAGGATTCAGAGATATTTGTTTCCATTATTAGTAACATATTACAGAAGTCCAAATTTATATCGGCAGAACTTACCCAACCTCGGCCATCACCAGTGCAGTATGGTTCTATGGTTCTACTGTCTCGTTGGGTCCCAAGTCCTCCTCCATAGAAGCCATGGTTTCCATACACTGCACTGAGGAAGGACAACAAGCCTGAAACCGAGTATTTGGGCTCCATTGCCCAGCCGGGCAGCAAGTCATTACATGCTGCCTGGGAAGCTGGGTTCATGCTCCGTCGTCACCTCATGACGAGGGAGCACGGAGTTGGCTTCCTGGACAATCAAGAAGCCGGGCAGCAAGTCATTATATGCTGCCCGGCTTCCTGAGTGGCTGGAAAACCAGCTCTATGCTCCCTCGTCACCTAGTGACAAGAAGCGTGGAGAAGGCTTCCCTGCAAATCAGGAAGCCGGGTGGCCAGTCATTACACGCCGTCTGGATTCTTTATTGGGACATCCGGTATCGACGAGTACCGGAAAAAAGATATAGGGTATTCGGCTCCGAAATACCGGTATCGGTCCATCCCTACCTAAAACAGCGGTGTGCAGTTTGGAATAAATGGCTCTGGAATATTGGGTTATATTTGCTCTATGCACCGGCATTTCTGGATGAGCATCTGCCCGATGGGGTGTAAAGGAATGATTTGCATGGCCCCGCCCTCTTTCCTGAAATAAGGAATAATCCTCTATTTTTGGGGATATGTGATGGAATGAGACATGTGATCACCTCCTGTTCTAAGAAGGCTTTACTGTGCTATGCAGTGATTTATATACAGGGCTTTTTTTTTTATCCCTTTAGTCCCTTCTCACCGTATCTTATAGGGTTACCCTGTCTCTTTTTTAATCAAATCCTTGTTTTCCTCTTTTTTTTTTTTTTTGGTGCTGCTGATCTCTTGCAGCCTCTTCACAGCCACTTTCTGGCTGCATGCACTCCAGCAATGGCTGCATGGCATTTGTCAGGATGGATTTCCTGACTGTGACAACAGTGGACCTTAGTGGGTTGTGAAGGCTGAAATCGGGACATAAAAAAGACAGTTGGAATCGCAGGGGCCTTATTGTGACTGAAGCTCAGAGCGGCGCCCGGAGAGGAGCCGCACTTGCGGGGACATCTGGGAGGACATTTTACATACAAAGCAGAGTCGGAGGAGATTTATTTTGGGTATAAAGAGTCTGTCTGATGTCATCCGGAGATAATGGAACCGTCTGAAGTCTATTCAGCAGATGCGGAGCGCTCGGATGGCGCGTCACTAAACCCATCACTCTGAAACGTGGCGGCCGCTGATGGTCCCTATCCTCCACGCCTCCCCCTGGGGTGCCGTGTCGCGGGGTCACCGTCTAATGGCGGAGATTCAATTTGTCTTCTCAGGAGCCTCTCTGGGGCGTTATAAATAGATTACAATGTGTCCATTTAATTCCCGCTGGCCGCGTACTCGTCCTCCATGGTACTTGACTGCGTGTCATTGTCAGAGCTGAGCGCTCATCACTCATCTCCCAATGTAGGAAATCTGTTACATTGTATACAGGGGAGCGCGGGTGACGGAGGCTGGAAGAGGAACGGCCATGTTTACTGCCGACAAAGCCGCGCTTCCTGCGCAAAATCTATCACAAACGGGACCGATTGCAGCTTCCCGGCCCTCGGATGTGGCGGCTGCTTTCGTTTTCTCAGAATTATTTACAGGTGATGTGAAGGTGACAACGTTCACTCACCAAACTGTATCTATGGAGGAGGATTGTCACCCTATAAAACGCCTCCCCCTCACCTGGTCTCTGTACCATAGAGGTGTTCTGTAGCCCTATGATAGGGTGACGACAATCACTCACCATACTGTATCTATGGAAGAGCATTGTCACCCTACAAAACACCTCCCCCTCACCTGGACTGCTTATCATAGAGGTGTTCTGTAGCCCTATCGTAGGGTGACAACGATCACTCACCATACTGTATCTATGGAGGAGCATTGTCGCCCTACAAAACACCTCCCCCTCACCTGGACTGCTTATCATAGAGGTGTTCTGTAGCCCTATCGTAGGGTGACAACGTTCACTCACCAAACTACCTATGAAGGAACATTGACGCCCTATGAAACACCTCCCCCTCACCTGGTCTCTGTAACATAGAGGTGTTCTGTAGCCCTATCGTAGGGTGACAACGATCACTCCCTGTACTGTATCCATGGAGGAGCATTGTCACCCTACAAAACACCTCCCCCTCACCTGGACTCCTTATCATAGAGGTGTTCTATAGACGTATCATAGGGTGACAACGATCACTCGCCATACTGTATCTATGGAGGAGCGTTGTCACCCTACAAAACACCTCCCCCTCACCTTGTCTCTGTAACATAGAGGTGTTCTTTAGCCCTATCATAGGGTGACAACACTCCCTATTCTGTATCTATGGAGGAACATTGTCATCCTATAAAACACCTCCCCCTCACCTGGTCTCTGTAACATAGAGGTGTTCTGTAGCCCTATCGTAGGGTGACAACGATCACTCCCTGCACTGTATACATGGAGGAGCATTGTCACCCAAGGACAGGCCTGCAATTCACCTTCTCCTCGCCTGGTCTCTGTAAGGTGTCCTCTCACCCTTTTGTAGGGTGACAACGTTCACTCCCTGTACTGTATCCTGTGGAGTAGAGCAGCAACATTGTCACTTTAGCACAGGAAGTGTTTTGGGACTATAGTTTCCCCCCCCCCCCCACCCCCTCATCTCCATACCGCAGTGTATCATAAACAATTGCTATTTCCTTTTTTTGAAATGAAAAAAATATATATTTTCTTCTTTTTTTCCGTCCTTTGTTACATCTCAGTGCTGGTGATCCCGCCATGACGCTCCTTCGCTCAGACACTTCCTGTGATTTGGGTTTGCCTTTAGTGCCTCCACGTTTATGGTTCAGGACACGGCGTGAGATCTGATGCGGTCACAGGTAGATAAATGAGATTTATTCTCGGGCCCCATCTGCGCTCTGGGCTCCCCCGCCGTCCTCTGAGTGGATTGTGTCACCCCGGGGGCCGCGCACCGCCAGCCGTTATTGCGCTAATTGGGGCCCCGCGTGCTGCTACGTCCCCGGGACCATCTGGACGAGGAGCCTTGAAATTTATTGATTGCATATTAGACCTTTAGCCTGTAATACATCACTTAGATGATCAATTAACTGATTGCAGCGTCAGAGACGTTTCCACAAAGGACGTTTCCTGACATTAAGTCCTTGTTCACACCAAATGCAGAGCAGGTCCGGTCAGGTTTCTGCACACGCAGTGCAGTGGGTTGTGCCGCGTTTTTGATGCGTTCCGGGCCGTTTTTGGTTAAAAAAATAAAATCATTTTTTTAAAGTTTAACATGGGCTTTCAGGCACTTGCATGCGTTTTGATGCGTTCCAGAGCAGATAAAATAGGGCTTGCCGCAGTTTTTTCGCCTGCTCTGGATCCGCACGCTTTGAACTGGAGCTCAAAATACCATTGGAATACATTGGACGCAGTTTTGATCCGGTCTGCACCTGCTCTGCTCTGGATCTGCTCCGCGCTTGGTGTGAACAAGCCCTGAAGGAGCTGCGTGTGATTTGAGCCTCGGGAGGGGGCGGCGCGCTCATTGCCGATTGGCCTGTACGGGCGTTTTCGGGTATTTTGCTATTGGTCAATCCCCTCTGACCGTTTCTGCCAGAACAAGTTTCCAAATTGGAATGTTTCCCCTTCTATTTCTGATGACGACTCAAAATTTTGGATTTACCCCAATTTATAGTCCTGGCGGCAAGAGGGAGAATGAATCTCCGTAGTGGGGACTCTGGTGAGGACACGGAACCCCTCTTCCAGTCTCTCAGCGAGCTTTGGCTTTAGATAAACTTAAAACACAATTCCGGCTTTCGCCCACAGCTCAGCAGCCAATAGAGAGGCCGAGATTGCACCATAGATGGCCAACCCGTGTGCTGACTGCTCAAGGGCCTGTCATTAAAACTCACACTTTACATGAACCAATAGGGATCGCAGTACCAAATCCCATTTAGCTGACCTCCGTCCTCCCCTTCATTCTTGTATCTGATCTCCGTCCTTCCCTTCAGTCTTCTATCTGACCTCCGTCCTCCCCTTCAGTCTTCTATCTGACCTCGGTCCTTCCCTTCAGTATTCTATCTGACCTCCGTCCTCCCCCCTACATTCTTGTATCTGACCTCCGTCCTTCCCTTCAGTTTTCTACCTGACTGCCGTCCTTCCCTTCAGTCTTCTATCTGACCTCCGTCCTTCCCTTCAGTCTTCTATCTGACCTCCGTCCTCCCCTTCAGTCTTCTACCTGACCTCCGTCCTCCCCTTCAGTCTTCTACCTGACCTCCCTCCTCCCCTTCAGTCTTCTATCTGACCGCCGTCCTCCCCTTCAGTCTTCAATCTGACCGCCGTCCTCCCCTTCAGTCTTCTATCTGTCCTCCCCTTCAGCCTCCTATCTGTCCTCCCCTTCAGTCTTCTATCTGATTTAGCTGCCACTGGCCCCGCTCCTTTCATTCATTGGATTTTAGAGTCGTAGCGCCCGGGTTGCTGTGATTTGAGCCTCGCTGGGCCAGGCGTCAGGAACGTCTGCCAAACCCCCCCCCCCCTTCACCGAGTGTTTGAGATGTAGAATTGCGTGAAAAGATCATTCACCGGTTTGAGTTCATCTCATCATCCGTGCAAATCGCATTCACCTCAGATCGGTCCATTCAGGAGTTAAAGGAGTGCAGAGGATGGGGGGACCTGACAACCTCGTGGTATCAATGTATCATTATTTCTG